ACGGCTAGCCAAGTTTTATGCCGTTTTGAATGATTTTTGTCAAACGACCAAAAGCGAGAGATGGTTTTCAAGGTGTTTTTGTTGGAGAACCGTTTAAACATGCCAAAGAGTAAAAACCAATCATAAAAAGTTGAAAATCACTTGGTTGGTTCGGACGCCAAAAACCATAGCCGATAACCGAGAGCCGAACGCCAGTTTCTGAAACCCGAACGCTGGATGGCTTGGTTTTTGGTTTGGGCGAACACCAAGTGTTTTTAATGACTTAAACATGTTTGAAAAGCATTTTTATGATTTAAGAAGTGCAATGAAGGTTTTTAGCCTAAAGAGCCAAGGTGTAAAGGTTGGGTCGGTCTTGATCACAATGAAGACCGACTCAACGACACTAAGACTAAGGTCTTCGTTCTTGGTCTTCTTTTAGCTCTTGTTCTTGTCTTCCTTCTTCGCCTTGTATATTCAAAGTTTGACTTGATCACGGCGGTTTGGCATTATCAAAACCTGTCATAAAAACAAACACGGCTTTAGTACGAAAACGTGACATGCCCGTGTTTCAACATTGTTGTACCTGAAACACTTAAACAAACGTCAAGCTCTTATATTGTTTGTTAACATAAAAACATGAGGCTTAGCAAACCAAGGCTAACACACACACACACACACCACACACACACACATATTAGGGGTGTTTTTTTATTGTTGATGTGTTGTAACACCCTAATCCGTCCAGGTATGCATCTCCTTAGGGACTAAAGTATTTACTTGGTAATCGTAAAAATTCAAAAGTTTTCAAACACTTTTATTTATCACAATAATACTTTTTCATAACATAAACAATACATAGTTTTCAATAAAACAAATAAAACAAACTACACGCTCAGCGTTGAAGCTGAGTAAGCATATCTAATGCGTTGAACGTCCATATAAACTGCATCTAAATTCATAATCAATTCATTTATATCATGCACATAATATTCAATTCAATATTCATCAGTGCTTTTAAATTATTCTTAATCTAAGGCCAATGATAATAACAACGATCTTAGCTATTCTTAGTCTAAGGCCAAATCATAAAAACGCTCTTAGCTATTCTTAGTCTAAATCTAAATCATAATTCTCATAACATGAGTCTTAAACTATGTCTAGTTTAAGGCCATTAACCAGACCCTTGAAAGATAATTAAAAATCAGACACTTAAACAATCATTAGTTTAAGGCATTTCTTTTCAGACTCTTAACTGTGGTCAGTTAAGGAAACAACATAATAGCGACTAATCAACGTCGGATCGAGGTATTCCCAAATGAGTGATCTTCTTGTTTGGTTTATAAATCCCTTTTATAGAGGTCTTTTAGATAGCCTTAATATCAGTTATCTAAATGGATATATCTTAGAGTTCTTCTAGATACCCTTAACAATACAAATCAATTCATAATTATCAATGTATTCGTTTTACTCATGGATTAATTATTTAGAAACTACCAACACATTCAGAATCTGGATGAGAAATAGACAACAAGAAGGATCGTGATTGTGAAAAATCATGAACAAGTAGAGAGAACATACCTATGTTCAAAGTACAATCCATCGCGATATGCTGAGAGAACACTACATGGTGATTGTGAATGAAGCCAATGATGTTAGCACAACGAAACCACAATCAAGACAATAAACCCTCTAATAGGAAGACTCCTAATATTATTTTTTTTAGTTTCCTTATTCTTGTATTACCATAATTACTTTATTTCTTTACTACTAGGAATAAGACTCTCTCTTGTAATCCCTATATATAGGGACATATATCTCAATATTCAATAAGACAAATTATTATCAAATTGTATCATGGTATCGGAGCTTAGGTTTAAACCCTAGCCTTTTTTTTCGAGACTGTGCTTCACCGCCGGTCTCCTTCCTCTCGCCGATCGACCGTAAACGGCGACCATGGCTCAACCTTCAGATCCGCTTTCTTCGCTTCCTTCTGGCGTCAAGCTTCTTCTTCGCAATCTCTATAATCTTATCCCAGAAAAGCTCACCGATTCAAATTACCCTGCATGGTCTCTCAATGTCAGAACTGCTCTCGAGGCCAACCTTCTTCTTGGTTGGATCGATGGTCATGAAGTTGCGCCCCCAAAAATCTTATCCAAGGATGGCAAGGAAAACCCTAACCCAGAGTTCCAAACATGGACTGTGATCGATACTCAGATCCGTGCATGCCTTCTTGCCGTCATCAGTCCGTCTGTTCACAAGCATGCCCGCAACTTCACCACATCTGTCGATCTGTGGAACGCTCTCGCTGCCCGGTATAATTCTATTTCTACCGCTCACATCTATAAACTACGGGACAAACTTCACACACTCCGAAAAGGTACTAAAACTATCACCCAGTACCTTGATGAAGTTGCCACTATCCTCACCAATTTGGATACTCTCAACGAGGTTATTCCTGAGAGAGATGCGGTGAATGCTGTTATCCGAGGCCTCCCTCATGAATATTCCTCCTTCAAGCAAAATATACGGATGAACAATGATAATATAAGTCTCAATCAACTCTCTGGGTGGTTGACCTCTGAAGAAATAAATCTTGAAATCAAGCAAAAATTAAGTATTGCAGATTCCGCCTCTGGAGTTTCTCACTCCGCACTGTACACAAACAGCGGTCGAGGCCGCGGTCGAGGAGGATCGAACGGTCGACCGTCTTCTGGGCGAGGCTCTGGATCCGGTCGCGGCGGTCGAAGCTACGGAAGGGGGGGAGGCCGCGGACCGTCACGCGATCTTCTAGTGTGTCAGATCTGTTCAAAACGTGGCCTCTCTGCTGCTACCTAGTGGTACCGCTATGATGATTCTTCTACTGAGAGCAACTCGGCTACCAGTTCTCGTGCTATGCATGCAACCACAACCAACCAAACTGGTGATTGGTACCTTGATACACGTGCTAGTACTCATGTTACGCATGATTTTTCACAACTGCAAACTCCGACTCCCTACCATGGCACTGAAACTATTACTATAGGTAATGGTGATACTTTACCCATCACTCACACATGTTCAGGCTCAATTCACACCCCGAATGGTAAATTTCACCTCCCCTCACTTAACCATGTTCCCTCTCTTACTTCAAACTTACTGTCCATTCACCGCTTTACCAAATATAATAATTGCACTCTTGTCTTTAATGCCAACTCCTTTCAGATAGTGGACAATGATACGAATTTGGTGCGGTACACGGGCCCCTGTGAGCATGGTCTCTATACCCTTCCTTCCAAGCCTATCCCTGTTGTGTGTCAAGCTGTCACTGCATCCACCTGGCATCGCCGGCTTGGACATCCGGCTCCTGCTGTTGCCAAGTCTATTTTGTCTACTTTAGGTTTTAAATTTTCTGATCAATTACATTGTGAGTCCTGTCATGTGTCTAAGTCTTGTCGTTTATCCTTTGAACTCTCTAAACATAAGGCCACATCGCCTTTTCAATTAATTCTCTCTGATGTTTGGGGACCAACCTCTGTTCCATCTATCTTTCGTTTTCATTTCTATATCTGTTTTGTTGATGATTTTAGTAAATTTACTTGGATTTACCCTCTCAAACACAAATCTGAAGCTTACTCCGTTTTCACTAGCTTTGAAAAAATGGTTAAAACTCAATTTAATTCAAATATTCAGATTTTTCGAAGTGATAATGGAAAAGAATTTGTAAATACAGCCTTTGGCATTTTTCTTCAAAATCTTGGGATTCTGCATCACATGTCCTGCCCTTACACCCCTGAACAGAATGGTGTTGCTGAACGCAAGCATCGGCATCTCATTGAGACTGTCATTGCTTTACTCTACGACTCCCATCTTCCTGTCTCCTTTTGGGTTGAAGCCCTTGCTACAGCCAACTACCATATAAATCGCCTACCCACAGCCACCCTAAATAACCAATGCCCCTTTGAAGCCCTCTATGGTCGGCCTTCGGATTATGTTCACCTTCGTCCCTTTCGTGTTCTTGTGTATCCCTGGCTTCGCCCTCACACAAATCACAAGCTTCAACCACGTTCCACTCCCTGTGTTTTCCTAGGTTATCATCCCACCATAAAAGGTTACAAGTGTTATGTTCCTATTTCTTAGAAAACGTATGTCTCCCGTCATGTTCGTTTTGTAGAAGATCAGTTTCCCTATTGTAAACTACTATCTACCCCATCCTCCTCCAACCCCTTAGGCATCATCCTCATTTTTCCTCCCAGACCAGGCTCACAGGGTCCGGCACCGCACAGCTCTCAAATCGTTCCGTCTGCTACTACTCCGCAAACGGTCGACCGTTCCCCTCATACATCCACCCACGGTCGACCGTCCCTGCACACCCGTTCTGATCCTCTACAGACGGTTCACCACATGGACCATTCACCACCCCACGGTCGACCGCCCTTCCAACCCCTCTCTGAATCTCTACAAACGGTCGATACCATCACCCGCTCACCCCCACACGGTCGACCGTCGAGCGAACTGCTCACCACAACAAATGCCCATCCCATGCCAAATCAGGAATTTTTAAGCCTAAAACCTATACTGCTACCACGATTGATACCTCTCATCCTACCTCTGAACCTCACACCTATCACCAACCCTCCAAGAATAGCTATTGGTGCCATGCCATGGATGAGGAATTTGCAGCTCTGAATGAACAGCGCACATGGGATTTGGTGCCCCTACCCAAGGGCCGAGATCCTATTGGTTGCAAGTGGGTGTATCGCATAAAACGGAATCCGGATGGCTCCGTCTCTCGGTACAAGGCTCGTCTAGTGGCCAAAGGGTACCATCAAGAGTATGGCATTGATTATAAAGAGACGTTCAGCCCGGTTGTCAAGCAGCAAACCATCCGTCTGGTACTCACTCTTGCTCTACACTATGATTGGCCTCTTCACCAGCTTGATGTTACCAATGCCTTTCTCCATGGTACACTCGATGAGGATATTTATATGTCTCAACCACCGGGCTACATCAATCCAAATAGGCCTGAGTTTGTTTGCAAGCTACGCAAATCTCTTTATGGCCTTAAACAGGCTCCTCGTGCTTGGTACACTTGTTTTGCTACTTTTTTTGTAGGGACTTGGCTTCCAGTGCTGTCGTCATGACACCAGTCTGTTCACTTTTCATAGCTCCCGTTCAGGTGAGGTTCAGGTGAGAATGCACCTTGGTGAAAGAAATAAGAATAAAATCTAGCATTTAGATTTGATACATCGTGCGGCTCAGATTGCATCCTGCACTCAGATTTTGAGATTATGCATTTTCAAGGGATTATGGTGCATTTCTACACGATGCATTTTCAAACCATTTTGGTGCATCTAATTTTGATGCAATCCTAACCCTTAGATCTCACAATCTAATGCAGCAGATTCATTCTTATTTCTTTCATAAGATCGCATTCTTACCTGAACCAATATATATATATATATATATATATATATATATATATATATATATATATATATATATATATATAAAGTCAAAACTTTTGACTTTAGAGTTTTAGAGTCAATTATACTTACGAGGTGCAATTGACATAGGTGGGGTGATTAGTTTGGGTCGGGACTCTGCAGGGGGTTTACCGGGGGTTAGTGGGGTAGGAATCATCAATTTTATGAACAAAGCTCCCTAGGGGGGCAGTGGGTTGAGAATCCACATTACAAAAGTTTAAAACTTTTGAAATCCAGTACTAAGGGCTTGACAGTTTTCAATCTATTCTTTAATAACCTCAGTTCAATGGTACTTTCAAAGTTCCTTCAGGTCCATGTTTTTTTCTCGAAAAGCTCATTTTGATTAATCATTAGGGTGAATATAATAAAGTGTTTTTAGATATCTCCCATTATGACTCACAAATATGAAATACAAAACATGGAAAATATAACATTAACTGTTGAGAAAATTTCAATTACACACTCAGCTCTAAGTATTGCTGGAGTCCACTGTCACACCATGAAATATTCAAGTAAAAAAAATTAGTTTTGCTTCTTCTTTCTTTTAGATTCTTACTATTGCTCATTAGTTAACATTGATTAGTTTATGTTGTAGTGTTATTATACTCGTATTTACTTTATTAGTCAAAATTTGTCTTTAAAAAGAATGTAGGAGATCTTTTTCAACCACTTGTTCAGGAAGAGCGGAGCACTTGTTGTTCATAAGCTATTTAGAAAGAATGAGAAAATTTAAAGTGCTTCTATAATCGAGGTTATTGGCTCTTTTAATTTTTCATGACTTAAGCTATTGTATTTTGTGTTGTTGCTCTTTTATTTTATTGTTTCTGTATTGTGATAAAATAAAATTGGTTGTTTAATGGTGCTACTGCTTTGTACTACTGCTCTATGTAGTTGATTTGTCTTCTAAGTTTTGGCTTTAGTTGAAAGATTTTGGTGGAGGAGCTCTAAAGAACAGTTTTGTATAATGGCATGGGATCTAAATGCTGTTGCTTGTGGATTTATTTCTCCTTTGGAAGCTGTTTTATGAGTACTTGGTACAAAATGGCTTGGACCTGGTCCCAATCAGTGTCTTCCAATGGGGAATAACACTTAATGGTTGAGTTCCATTATTGTTACACAAATGGTCTTTAATAATTTACATTGCATACATGCTACTATTAATGTATAAAAGATTTCAGAATGCTCAAATCACATTCTTTTGATGATTCATCTTGATACATATTTATTTTGCAGGTTGTCTTGAGTAAATTATCTGGACTTAATGGTTTACCCTTCTCCCTTCACTAAGAGAGTTCATACTTAACTTATCCAAAATGTATTTCTTGGGTTTATCTATTGGAAGAATGAAATTTGTTTAGGATTACAATTTCAGGTAGGTAACTCCATTCTGGGTACGACCATTGGAATGAAATTGATTTGGGATTGCCGTTTTAGGTTTAGTAATTCTATTTTGGATATGAACATACACATTGTTCCTAAGTTGTCAAGTTAGGATCTTTTACAGGTTTTTGGGATGATGTTTCTCATCATATCAGATGTTGTTCACTACTCCGGCATTAGAAGAAACAACACACAGCTATTATACTCTTAATATGCAGTAATGTTAAATGGCTAAAATGTTTATTATTACTTTACAAAAACTTGAAGTTAATAATGATCCTCTTGCTTCGTTGGATCCCTATATTGTGAGCAGGTTAATGGTGTGAAGACTTGGTTTCATTTATGAAACTGAGACGATCAATTCTTGTATAAAGGAGGGTTAATGTTATGCACGCAAGTTGGAGGCTGTATACCGTTCCTGTAGGTCTTTGGAAATGATGTTCAAGAGTAGGACTAGGTATCATAAGATAAGGCCAGGGGTCTAGAGTCTAGACCTACGAATGCTGCAAATTAAAGTTGACACTTTGGTTAAGGATTCTTGGTTTAATTTTTTGTATCGTGTAATCTTTGGATCGTTGTCTTTCCGAAGGGCTTTGGTTTGGTCCTCCCTTCTTGTATTTTTCATTCTTTGTCTTATATTCTAATAAAACTTATTTTTTATGTGTGTATGTGTGTGCCTATATATAAATAAATAAATAAACTTATATGTGTGTGTGTGTCTATATATATATATATATATATATATATATATAAGCAGAAATTTTATTTCACACGAATCCCACTACGACTAATAAGATCCTTCTCAACCAAAAATAGGTTGTCCTTGCAGACGTTTCCAACAGGGAGTACCACTTCTGGAAACAAAAATGCCTCTTGAAGTGGTTCAAAGAAGGAGATGCCAATACCAAATTCTTTCACGGTCTTGTGAAGGAAAAAAGAAGAAAGCAGAGGATTAATGTCTTGATGAATGAAAACGGAGAAGCTATTCAAGACACATGCTCTTTGGAGGACATGGTGGTACATCATTTTTCCACCCTTTTGAATGGCACAGAGCAAGCAGCAACACAGGACATGTATAATGACTTTATGGATTCCATTCCCCACTTGATCCGCAATGAACAAAACACCAAATTGATGGCACTTCCTTCAGAGCAGGAACTCAAAGACATCCTGTGGGGAATGGATGCAAACTCATGCGCTGGACCGGATGGATTCTGTAACGCCCCAAAACATACCTTAGAATTATTAATAGATAATTATTAAAATAAATCAGATTTGTTTTGATTAAAATAAATTTTTATGGGCTTTGGGCCGATAAAAATATGTTTTGATATCCCATATCATAATCAGGATAAATCTCATAGAGATAAATCCAATTTATTGACTATTTGTGTGGTCTTGATTGGGAACCTGAGTACAGACCCAAATCAAGAATAAATGAAGAAATTAATTATGATGTGAACATTAAAATGATTTATTGAAATAAATGATGAGAATAATTAATATGAATTAAATATGAGAACCTTTTTGAATAAAGGTCAACTGAATCAATTTTTACTCTATCAAAGTCAACCACCCAAAAATATGATGTCGGAAATAGTATTACAAATAATTATGAAAAGTATATCGTTGAATAGAATTCGACTGTCTGATCGCAACGGTGCGAACGGATTTCAATTTGGAGAAAGTTGGATCAAAAAGTGTACCCCGACTGGAACCAAAATTGGTCCCAATCAGGGACACTGTGGAGACGGCGCCTCCCAGCGCACT